AAATTCGCAATATATTTTTCACATGTAGTCATCCATCCTGCGATGTTTTGAGTCCAGTCGATTTCCGTTTTAGTTGAGTTCACCAAATTAAAGCCATCTTCTGCAGCATGAAGAATACTTTCAATCTCCTGAAGAAGCGATGAATTGGTTTTTCTTAACTTTTCTGCAACCTCAGGCTTCAAGTTTGTTTTTCCCTGTCGTTTACCAGCCATTCTACAATTTAAAGAAAAAATATATTTTTTTAAATTCAGTTTTTCAAAATTTATTTTATAGTTTAAATATATTGTTTAAGATATAATTCAAACTATAAAGTCTTAACAAATTTTGATATAAAATCTTACTCTGAAAATTGTATTTAAAAGCTGTTAAATTGAACGGTGCTGCCACCTAAAATTACAACGATGCTGCCTACTGCTGCGCGTCACCTAAGCATTCAAGGAGTCTCCCTTCTACACGCCACAGCTAGTGCCGACTTGTAGCGGTGGAGCCTTTCTCTTTCTGCTGCGCTGAGACTCTATCTCCCTCTCACTCTCTCTCACGGCAACTCCTTCTGACGGTGCTCTCCACTCCTTTCTCTCTCTCTCGCTCGCTCGCTCTCTCCTTCTCTCTCACGCCAAGGTACTCTCCTCTCTCCTACGCTGGGTCTATCTCTCGCTCGCTCTCTCCTTCTCTCTCACACCAAGGTGCTCTCCTCTCCTCTCTCCTACGCTAAGACTCTCTCTCTCTCGCTCTCTCTCTCCTTCTCTCCAACTTTGCATATAATATTCTTCTTCTGCTGGTTGATCCTCTCTGCTTCTGCTGGTTGACCCTCTCTGCTTCTGCTGGTTGATCCGGTTGACTCGAAGACGCTGCTACGAATGCGAACTCCATTGAATTCCTGATATTTATACCCAAATCACAGATTCACACATAGCAAATTGCACTAACACATATGCATATGTGATAACATAGATTCACACATAGCAAATTGCACTAACACATATGCAACTGATAACACAGACGAGGGTTGAAGCATGTTGGTAAAACAGTTCCCTACTTTACCGATCGAGTCAACATTTATGGTAGGAATCTGCATTACCATCAATTGATACTGAAGGAATCTGCAATACCGACTGTGGGTTGGTAACCGACACAACGTTGGTGGCTGTCGCATGAACTATAATGTACAAATTTAAAATGCGCGCCATTTACCGACTGCAGCGCTAGTGGCGCCTCTAGCGGCGGCCTTGCGAACTATCACCGAGAACTCACATTGTCTAACTACTCCAATAGCTAACTCTCAAATATCAACGATTTGTCCCTTCAGATGTTTAGTCCAATACTCCAGTTTTCTCAGTGTGGTTTTCGCAATATTTCAGATTTAGCGGACACTCCCGTAGACAATGACATTATTTGTGTAAGTGAAACCTGGTTAACAAAACCTCCTACTTTTCTACCTCACTTTTTAAATAAATACAACTTTATATTCAGTAATGCTATACGCGAAAATTTGATGGGTAGACCAAAGGGTGATTTGCAGGTTAATATTTTTTAAAAGAAACCTTACCCTGCCGAATTGTTGTGGTGATAGGAGGTTCGAATTCAACCTTCTTTCCACCTTAAATCACTTGCACATATGGTAATCACTCCATATTTGACAGCTCTGTCACAGCTTTTTAGTTTATTTTATTTTATTAATTTGTCACACTCTCCTTAAACAAGTGTTCGATTTAAATATTGTAAGTACCACTTTTATTCAAAAATTAAACTTCTTATGCACTTTATGACAATTTATTCACAAATTTCACCAAAGACAATGTGTGTTCAAATCGATTCATAAACATCATACACTTAAAACACCTTTTATTACGAATAACTATTTATTTTTACTCAAATATTGCACAGATTTACCTAATAATTAATACTTATTACTCACAATTGTTTTTCTCAATTAAAATATTTTAAATATTGCTTATTTTCAATTAAAATCAAATACGGAGGAAGCAAGGTGAAAAGAAGGTTGAATTCGAACCTCCTATCACCACAACAATTCGGCAGGGTAATCATTTAGTAATAATACATCAAAGTGAACAATGTTTATTTTCCTTGTTTAAAACAAAAAAATTAAGTGTCATTGTGGGGTCCGTGTACTTTAATCCAACCATGGATAACGATTGTTGGAGATTGACTTTGAAAACGGCTTTCGATCGTACACGAAGAAACTTTTTCTTCTAATATTGAATATATTTGGTTATCTTTATTCTAAAAGTACGTTAGAATGTGAGGATTTTTCGTGCGTTGTGCTAATAATTTCAACATTAATACGAAAATATGATAAGTTCGTTATATATTAAGCAACCTTCGGTGTACAAAAATTAATATCTGCATTAGAAATAGTCTTATTTTTCTTTAGAAAAGAATAAAATGCTAGTTTTTGTTTGTGAAATAATACGGTAATTCTAACCTTTTTTCCACATATAGATAGAATCACTTCCACGGAGTAATAATAAGGAGACTGTACTACCAGTGAGATACCGTGCCAAATGTCTGCCTTGGTTCACTGAGTAGTAAAGACTTCTCAAAAATAAAGCGCATGCGCAGTTTGCAACTATCTTCGTCACTCTTGAAAGAACGATGAGAGAGATCATTATTTTGACGTGCGAGTTAGAAAGTGTGGTTATGTTTTATTGTTGACAACAGCAACTATACGGGAAAATCAACATTTAAATAAGAAAAAATATTAATTAACAAACTGCAAAGAGAAGAGTAAGTACAATATATTATAATATTAATAAATTGTAATATAGGTGTGAGTAGATATTAATAAAAAGATTATTTTTGTCGAACCGGAGTAATTCTTTTCTTTGTATGATAAAGTGAATGAATACAATATAATATAATGCTATAATCGCTATAATGCTAATATAATTAATATCTACTCACACATTTCCTATATTACAATTTATTAATATTATTTAATAGTATAATATATATTGTCAACAGTAAAACTGCACATGCGCGTTATTTTTTAAAAGTCTAATGACTTTTAAAATATAATAATAATATAATTATATATAATATATATATTATTATATTATTATTATATATTATTATATTATTATTATATATAATATTTTAAAATTTTTTTTTTTTATTATATGACTACTCAGTGAACCAAGGCAGAAATCTGGCACCAGTTTGACTAGGGGATACGCTGGAGAGCAGTCTCCTTATTATTACTCCGTGAGACATTCTAACGTAACATACCAATTTTGGAAGGACTGCGGGCGGACTTAACCGATTTCGCCCGAGCATCACCGAGTCCATCACCTGACGTCGCGAACTAACCCTAATGTTTTCGAAGTTGAAATTCACACGTGTATGAAAGAAAAAAACCTTTTATTAATAAACGTGAATGTCTCCTCATGCCAAATTTAATTCAAGAACTGTTCCTCAATATAACATAATTTTTTTCACGACTTTTACTTATTTACATAATTTGATTAGTAAGTTATTTTAAAAAATGCTCTCTCTCGAAGGCACATATTTTTCCACTCGTTTAATATATAAGGACGATTCAGCTGTGTACTTCTAACGAATCGTGCGATCTTTCGGTTTCCGTGACCAATCGTCGTGTCTTTACTTGCGTGTGCGTGTGTGCGTTAATAATATAGGTTAGGTTCTTACGTCGTGTTAAATATATTTACCTACAGTTACAGTGACATACACTAATGCCATCTACCATCAGATCCAAGTATCACTATCGTCTCTATGAGTATCTATAGACAATTAATTTGTTGTGTTTCTTTTTAATTCATGGCTTTCCCAACTTTGCAAAAATTATTATTTTCTTTCTAAAACAACATACTAATTTTTGTTAGTTTCCTTATGAAGAACTGTAAAATATATACTGAATGAGTGTTTTTGATAGTCTCAATAGCAATTTCTATAACCTATGTCGTTTTTCCCTTAAATCTAACCTAACATACTAAAATGTCTCACCAGTTTTAAGAATTAGTGGTATTAAAAGTTTCTCCGTGTATTGAAAATCTAAACTTAAATTGTTCAGTAATAGTGGGAGGTGATTTTAATGCCAGAGTGGGGGACCTTAACCAGATAGACGAAACTGCTTTGTCGGAAGGCTTTTCAAATCTTTCTGGCTCAAGAGAATCATCCGATGAATTCATCAATAAAAGAGGTCGCCTCCTCGTGGAATTTTTTGAGGATCACGCATTCATATTGATCAATATGAATGCGATCTTGATATCTACCGATGAAGAGGGGACACGCCGGCAAAATTTAGTTACTGTGGGCAGAGGGGCAATAGTGTGGTAGACTTGGTATTTTGTGATTATGCGCACATACACTCCGTTTTGGATTTCCAAGTGCTCCCTACGGTTACCTTGTCCGATCATTTACCAATCGCACTGGCCCTGTATTATACTCAAAATGTGAAGGTGGGAAATCAGCGAGTCGATGGCGATAGTAGGGGAAAAACTAGCTCTGGATACAAATGGAAACAACATCTTGGCAGTGTGTTCACCGAGGAAATGAGCTAAAGACGAGACGTACAATGGTATGACTTTTCGACTGATGTAGCAAATGAAACAATAATCACAGCTGTGAGTCAGGTGGCCGAGTCCTTGGGGATGCGGAAGTTTTCGTATGTAGGAAAATTAAAAAAACCTTGGTTTAATAAAAATTGTTATGAACAAAAAAGAAGGGTTAAGGCATCTCTAAGAAATTGTTTTAAGTCCAATTTTTGTCCTAGAGATAGCAATATTTATAAAGAGGAAAAAAAACTTTACAAAAACTTATTAGCAAAAAATAAAATCTATCCACATATAACAATTATTTGTTAAAAACATTGCTATTTAAATTCTGGACTTCCAATGTCCTTGATTCAAATAATAGCACAGATTATATTAGTACAAACCAGACGTAATAGAATAAAATTTAAAAAGAAAGTTTTATAATTGATCCAGAAAAAATTTGTCCGTTTTGTAACTTAAATTTTTAATTGAAAGAATAATAAACGAGTGAACAAATTTTTTTAAAATCTTTTTGTATTGGATAAGAAGTATAAGGATAGATAAATTTACATATTTTCAATTTTATGATACGTTTTTTTCACTTTTTATGATTTCTTATGTATTGTAATACTTCTTCTACATCTTCCTTTGATCCTAGGAAAATTGATGATCTCTGATGAATATCTGATGGAATAATATCTAAAATATCCACTTCGCCGTTAGATGCAAGACCTCCTGCTTGAGATACTATAAATGCCATTGGTATGCACTCATATAGCAAGCGAAGCTGCAAAAATTGAAATTTTATTGTACATCAAAATTTATACTAAAGAAATTACGTTTTTATTAAATGTACTAATTTATAATTTTTCTAAACTTAAAAACTGTACTTTAAATAGACTTCTAACATAAATAATAGGGTGGGTCGATTTTTTTTCGATAAAGCGTATGCTTTATCTTCTGGCTTTATCTTCTGGCTTCTGTTATTAAAATAAATATAATTACCAAGTGAAAAAACATGCCTCTACTCAACTCAAGTTCCAAATGTAATTTTTATACATGTAATTTTCTCATGAAATCCCTCAAACATTTTTTAAGCTCATATAAATGTAATAAAATTCAAACTCAAAAGATTTAAATTATAATTTCTTTAAATATTTTAATTTTCATTCTTATGTTTCTAATAATGGTTGGGGTACAGTTTTTCTAAATCGTATTTTCTAAAATTTTTTTTTCTAATAAAGGTGAATTTCTAAAAAACTTTTTTCTAATAAAGGTGGTTTTGAAATTTTCTGTCTTCTAATAAAGCTAATTTTCTAAAAATTTATTTTTCTAATAAAGGTAATTTTCAAAATTTTTCTTTTTTCTAACAATATTCTATTTTTGTAATCACGATCAATAAGTACATATGATTAAAAAATAAAACTTACGAAAATTTGTTAATTCTTTAAAAAAATACTTGATATTTCGTTAAAGAATTATAATAAAAAATAGAAATTATGCAAATTACTTAACAAAATTTTTAAATAATCTAGTTAAAAATCGTAATTAATAAATTATAGGGATTTTTTCCCTAAAGATATTTAAAATTTTCTAAAAAATTTTTTTATAAATATATTAACTTTGGAAATTTCAATGTAAAAATGATGCAAATTATTTTTTTTTCAAAAAAGAATAGAATTTTGTTAACAAATTGTGATAAGAAATAGTAATTTTATAAAAAATTTTCTTCATTTTCAAAAAGAAACTTATAAATTTGTAAACAGAATTGTAATTGAGAAACAGAAAATTTAATCTTTATTTTTAAACAATTTTCTAATTTTTATAAAAATTATGGAATTTTAGAAATTTTAGGAAAATACACATTAGAAATTATAACTTTTTAGAAAAACTTTTTTGGAAAACAGATTTAATTATAAATCGCCTTTTTTTAGATAAAAAGGATTAGAAAATATTTTTTTAGAAAAAGTGTTCGCCTACCCTAATAATTGTTAGTATTCATCCGAAAAATATATTGAATACATTGAAATGTTGATAATTGAAGGAAAGAAATTTTTAATAGAATTTATAATTATTATTTTTCTGAATTAAATACAAAGTACTCGATTCTGCGTAACCGGAAGGGCAAAAGTATCAAAAAATGTAGAAAATACGGGATTTTTTTTAAAGTTTATTGAATTATCATTTTATAGGAGACTGAATTTACCAAAAGAAATAAAAATTCTAAAGATTTAATTAAAAAATACCATTTGAATCATAAAAAACATACTAAATATTTAAACTTCAAAATTTAAGTGTCTTTAATCAATTTATTTTTGTCAAACAAAAGTGTCAAATAAAATTCAGTTTACTAATTGAATAATATTGTAAAAAAAATTGTTCGATATATAGAATTTAGACTTTTTATCAATATTAAGTTTGATAATTTCATTAAATTTATAAGAATTTACAAAATGATAGAGATTTCTTGAAAAAATTACATGTATTTACCATTTTTAACATCAGTTGAATAGAGGCACGTCTTGATCATTTTTCTTCAATTTGTAAAAAATTTCTTTGCGTCAAGTGGTTATCACACATATGGGAATACTCATAACCAAAATAATCTATCAAAACATTAATTATTATAGAAATACCTGCCTGTCTTACCACAGAAAAAGTACATACGGGAAAATGTTCATGATTAATAAAATAAAGAATATATTTCAGAACTATGGATACGGAAAATTTTTTGAAAATCCTACAAAACCGTAGGTTGAAAATGTACGAAAAAAATTTTTTAGGGAAAGTTCTCGAACTGTACCTGAACACCTGAACAGTGAGAAAAGAACATGAGAAAAAGTTGAGGTCTAATCCTGCATTACACTAAAGAAATTCTTGAACTTTTCAGGAATCTACTGTGTAGAGCATGAGAAATTCTCGAAGTTCACGGCAGATTTTAAAAAAATTCAGGGACATCTTTAGTGTAATGCAGAATTAGACCTTAACTTTTTCTCATATCCACCGTTCAGGTACAGTTCGGGAACTTTGACTGAAAAAATGTTTTCCGTGTGCTAAGAGTTTTCGATAAAAATTATAATGAATTTAATGGAAACATTTTGAACTTTAGATAGAATAATTGTTGAACTACTCAACAATCAAAAATTTTTAAATTTTCTCTCAGTTTTCTCTTTTTTACTAATTAATATTGGTATATATTGTAATTTTTTGTAACTTCTCTAAAAAATTTTCCGTATTCACCATTTCAGAATAAATTCTCGATTTTTGTGAGACAACATTTTTCTGTGTTCCTTTTACAAATTGCAACATATCGATTATAATATCGATATGTTTAATATTCTTTTAAAGAATTTTATTGAAATTTTTTGAAAATAATCAGGGGAAGTTAGTCACCATAATTATAATTTTATTTTTTTAAATTTCTTCACAATATATTCAATTATTTTCATAAATAGTAAAACTCATTGCAGAATTTCAATTATTTTTAAGACAATTTTAATCACATTCCTGGAAAAATGTAATTATTCTTAAAAATTTTATTAAAATTCGTGGAAAGAATTCAATTATTTCTAGAAACAGTAAAAAAATTTTCTCAAGAATTTAATTATTTCTATAAGTTGCAAAATTCTTTAGATTCACTAAATTCTTTTGAATACTATTTTTAAAAAGAATCCTTTACTAGAATTCAGCTATTTTCATAAATTTCTATAAAATTCTAAAAAACAACTCAATTATTTTCAAATGTAATAATCAGGGTTGCTACAGAAGTCTGTTTTTAAATTTCCATGACTTTTCCAGGTTTTCCAGTACCAAATCTGATAAATTTCCAGGTCACCTTTTGAACATTGTAAATTAGAGCAATCTTTGAAGAAAAATTGGCCTAATAATAATAAATTAGAATTTTTCTGTATTATAAAAATATTCACGTTAGATTATCTCTATTTGATTATTAAAGCACAGACAGGGTGTCTACTGAAAATATGACTTAAAATTCCAGGACATTCCAGGACAGATTTTTTAATTTTCTAGGACATTTACATGTGTAATATTATTTCATATTACGATTAACATAATGTAAATTAACCTACTTGAACAAAAATATTAATTTTATTATAAAAAGAGTTAAAAATCAATATTATATAATATAGATATCAGATTCTTTAATCAAACGACAAATTAAAATTATTTTTTGATGGATCAAAAAAATTATTTTTTTAAATTTGAGTAAAATTTTTAAATTATTGAATATTTAAAAGCAAAATATGGAAAATTCAAGGATATTTCAGGACATTTCCAGGAATTCCAGGACATTATTTTTTAAAAGAAAAAATGTAGTAAAAAATATTAAGTGGAATAAAATTCCAGGCATTTCAAATTTCCATGACATTTCCAGGTATTCCAGACCATTTTTTAAAAAATCCCTGACTTTTCCAGGTATTCCAGACCTTTTTTAAAAAATCCCTGACTTTTCCAGGTTTTCCAGGTTTTCCAGGTTCTGTAGCAACCCTGAATAAAATTCTTCGCAGAAATTCAATTATTATCAATAACATTTTAATAAAATTAAATAATCAAATTTTCAATTAAAATTATTAAAAAAAAAATTTTCAACGAATTTTAAGAAACTCGCCAAAAGAATTATTTATCATTCATAAAAACTCTAATAAAAATTGTTGAAGCCATTTGTAGATTCATTTATATTTGAAATCAAATAAATTTAAATTTGATGAGAAAAAAAACCGGAAATAATTAGGACAAAGTCGTGAAAAAACCGGGAATTTTGTTAAATATAGCGCACAAAAAATTATTATTACAAATTTTTAATTCCTTAAATTGTCAATATTTAGAGACGTATGACTCTCCCTAAATTTAACTCTATATAATTGTTATTTCATGGAATTTTAAACTTTATAATTATTATTAACTCAAAAGGTAGATATATCTAAAATGTAATGCTAACATTATTGTTTAGTTTTTATTTTATGTCACTGAATACGTAATTCGTAGAATATTCTATGACCACCTTAGGGCCCTGATCACCTTGGGGCCCTCTCCCCTATATATATTATAAAAAATAAACTTGAAAAATAATAAAATAAATAGAATAACAAATCAAAGTAATTTAAAAAAAATAATTATATTTAAAATTCATCGCAAAAGTTAAATTAATTTTTATAAATTAATAAAATTCTTCTGAGGAATTCAATTACTTTCAATACAATTTTAATAAACTTTAAAAATCAAATATTTAAAATTACCTATACACAGACACAATTATTTTAAAAAGTTGAAAAAATTCTTTGTATAATTCAATTACTTTCAAAATTTTCAATTATAACTATTAAAGAAACTCCATTATTTCAAAAAAGTTTAAAGATATTCTTCAAAAGAATATAATTAGGATTTTTATAAATTTTAATTAAATTTTTCGCGAGAATTCGATTATTTTCATAAATATTTATTTATTGTATTTAAAGAAATCAAGTTCCTAGGGCTGTTAGCCCACTAAGGAACAATGTACATAATATTAACATTAATTACATAGTCCTAAAACTAAGATAACCAACATAATAAAAATACAAATAATATAATAGCAAAGATAACATAATAGAGGTATACATCATTCTCAATAACATTCATAAGAAAAATATACAGAAAAAGAAAAAACAATAAACCAAAAAATAAAACAATGTAAGAAAAAAAATAACAAAATCATAGGGTTACCAGTAAGTAATATCAAAAAATCCACCGTTTCTTTTACTTAAATACTCAAAAAATAAATAATAAAAT